ATAAATAAATAAATAAATAAATAAAGTATTTGTTACCTGATTTTTGAAAATACGCACCTTTAGAATGAATGCTACTATCAAGGGCATATCCAAGGGTTCCCCAACTCTGTGGCAATACTCAGCACTTGCTCTGGACTCAGGTAAGAACCTTGGATGCAGAAGCTTTTTCAGAAAGAAAAATATACTTTACTTTCTCTGGCTGGGGATGAAGCAGTTCTGAAAGGAATGCAGGGTGTGTCACAGTGAATAAGCTACAGGGATGGGAAGGCGTGGTGGGCTGGTCAATGGACAAGAAGATCTTGGGCCACAGCAGTGTGGACATTTTCAGAGGACTGCTACAGTTTGAGAATATCAGCTATGGGATTGAGCATCTGGAATCCTCAACTACGTTTGAGCACCTAATTTATGAAATAAACAGCAAAAATGTCGTAGGCCCACTTTGGACAGAAAATCCCACCGATGTAGACAACCAAATGATGACTGGACATGCATCTTATAAGCTGCTTTCAGATACTGTGGTGAGTGCTGATCTCTTGCTTCATTTCCTTTTAAAGTGACATTGAAGAACGGTTATCTTGTTTATGTGCTAGGAGTAGTTCTTCCTTATCTACCTCCTGAAGTTCTCAAGATAGTTGCAGCATTGGTGTGTGTTTATGCAATAGGGCTCTGCAAAGCACGTGAAAAAGGTCCATTGCAAAATGCACTGGCTGAAATAGAGCCCCCCTCCTTGAAGTGTTAAAGCAGCTGCATCCTTTTTCTTTGTGGGAGCAAATGCATGCCCAAAGAACAGTTTATAGGAATGACCAATGAAGTGAAGCAGTACACACAGACAACTGGGGACAGCCTTCACAGCAAACCTGTGGCCTTCCAAAGGATAAGGCTGCTTTAACACTTCAAGAGGGATGTTTTGCTTGGGCCAATACACTTTGTGAAGTGCCCATTTTAAATTGCTTTAAGTTAAGCTCAACTTGGGTTTTTTTTAATGAGAAAATTGCCAAGAGTAACCCTTCCCTCACTGTTGTTCCCTGCAACTGGTATTTGGAGGTCTGCTATCACCGGCATTGAATCTTCAAGGCTAAGAGGCCTAATAGGATTGTCCTCTATACATTTATCCCATCCTTTTTATAACCATCCAAGTTAGCACCATCACAACACCCTGTGGTAATGAATTCCACAATTTAATTATGTGCTTTCTTCTGTGTGTCCTAAAGTTTCTTCGAGGAATTTTCATTGGATGACCTCTAATCCTAGTGTTTTGAGAGGAAAACTCTCCCTGTCCATTTTCTTCATCTCATGCATGATGTTCTACACCTCAACCACGTCCCACTTCAGTCACCTTTTTTTGAAGCTGAAAGTGTCAAATGTTTTCACCTTTTCCCAAGGGAAAGATACTTTAGCCCCTTTATCATTTTATTTATCATTTAGTTTCACTTTGATCTGCTTCTCTTCTGACTGACTTGGCAGTCATCCTGCTTGGTTGAGGTTCTTCTGGTTTGCCTAGGGAGGAGCTTGGGACCATAGAATTTATCCCGCATAACTGGATGGATTTCTCCCCTGCATCCTTGATTGTATCCCATGAAAGATTGTGGGTGGGAAAGAGAGCTGAGTGCAATGTAGTTTTTACCAAAATACTTTATTGGTTATGGGTGTGTTATTGGTTATGTGTATGTGTGTGTGTGTGTATAAAGAAAGAGAGAGCTTTTGGAACAATGGTTTTTAACTCAGAGCAGTTTTAGCATTGCTAATGATAACCCATTTTGCATGCTTCTGGCATTGTACAAGTCCAGCAAGTGAAATATAGAAGCCTTACTAAAAATGAATTTATTTTGTCAATCCTCAGCCACTGTCAGATACTACTAAAAGCCACAGGTACATAGAAGTCTATGTTGTTCTGGATAAGGATTTGGTAAGTCTCTTAACTATAAAAACTATTCTGTCTCATGAATTCTAGGAAGGACATTTCCTGCAAAATGGATGGTGCGAATCATTCAGTTGCACGCACCCTGAGATTGGACAGTTAAAAACGGGCGGTAGCAGGATGGGGATTTTGTTGCTACTGAAGGGAGGAAATCAAAGGTGGGAATGGAAGCAAGAGTTTGGGGGAAGCAAGCATGAAAATTGCCCTGAAGTCCCACCCATAAATTTAGGTAGTTTAAGGAAGTGGTTTGCTTTCCAGAAGCTCCTGCTCCTTTTTCTGCCCTTAAACCACCCCATTTCCTGATGAACTCTGATAGCCTTCCAAAAAGGTTGGAATCCAAACCACAGCCCCAACACCTGAAACATCTCCCAGTGTTAATGCAGGGGACACAATAGTTGAATTTAGATGGCTTCCAATTCTGGCTTATTTGGGGCAGTCATTGTCTATCCCAGTGTTTCTCAACCATGGCAACTTGAAGATGTGTGGCCTTCAACTCCCAGAATTCTGGAAGTTGAAGGCCACACACCTTCAAGCTCCCAAGGTCAAGAAACATTGGTCTATCCACTTAAATCAACACTATATGGATAGAGCCCAGATAATAATCCTGTATGGTCTGAGCAACTTAGAAGAAGCCTGAGATGAAAAATGGGTGAGTTTGAGACTAATTAGCATTTTATCTAAGCAGACAAGATTTCTCTTTTCAATTCCGATTTAGTGATTGCTGTGCTGAACAGCAAACATATTCCTAAATATCTGTTCAGGCTAATTTGCTCCTTTGCAGAAAGCAACTAACTACAAAATAATGCAAGAACAAACAATAAACAAAAATCAATGAAAAACAGAAGGAAATAATGAAGAATAACTAACAGAACAAAAAAAATTATGCACCATCTAGGCCAGTGTTGTCCAAACTTGGCCATTTTAAGATGAGTGGACTTCAACATGCTGGCTGGGGAATTCTGGGAGTTGAAGTCCACT